ACTCTCAGCTAGGAGAATACCTCCCAAAACTTTCCCTCATCCACCTTCTTCTCCACAAACAAGCAGACCAGGCCCTCCCAAAGCCCCGTGCAGGCCCCAGCAACCGGACCCTCCTACCAGGAGAACATGTCTTTCTAAAACCTCTTCAACAGCAAGTGGGAAGGTCCCTTTCAAGTGCTTCTCACAACCCCCACCGCAGCTAAACTCTCAGGACATGCCTCTTGGCGCCATCTTTCCAGATTAAAAAGAGCTCCTGAAGTGCCCACTGCCATCCTCTGCCGATTCTCCAGCACCCTCCTTAGTCCAGCCAAACTCCACCTTAGAGGAATTTAGCCCGTCCCGGAAAAAGACCCATGACGGGTAACTCATTCATGTATCACCTCTGCCCCTGCTCCCGGCGCCAAGGCCCTCGAGGTGGGGAACAGCCTCTCCCCATAGCATAACAAGTATTAGAAGCCCTCTCCTCTCTCCCCATTCCCACACAAAAAAGGTCTTAACTTACCTATTCCTCACTCATCCACAAGGAAAATTAGACTACCCATGGGATGCTATCAGCCACCTCACAGACCCTCTAGAAGAGTTCACCTCCCCATACAGCCCCTACCAACTCCTTCCCCAGACACGGACTCCAGGTCTTCCTCAAGTTCCTAACTCTAATAGCCCGATGGCCTCTGCTCCCTCAGAGTCCCTTCTTATTCTACAAGGCTGGAACAATCTCTCAATCTCACTCAGTCCTTGTTACTGCGCTCCAGCTCTACGCTCCCTTCCCAGTGCTGGACCTGCTTTTCCCTTTCCTCTAATGCCTGCTCAGCCACCCCAAATTCTCAGCCTGGGACCACATTCCCATTCGATTTTCACACACTGTCCAAAAAGCCCTCGCCCTCCCTGGGAACCGTCCCACTGCCCTCGCTCACAGAGCTACCCAACTTCTCTCACATACACTGCCAATTCCAAGTGCACAAAACTCCCTCACTCTGCTATCCAAGGTCCTATTCTCAAGTGTCACCTCTTCCAACAGACACACATGCAGGCACCATCCCTCCCTCCGCCTGGGGCTCAACTAAAACCATCTCCCATCCCTCATCTGGGGTGATTATTCAGTTTTCCCTGAAGCTAGTGGCCTCTTTACCCAGCTCCTCCACATGACCTCCCTTCCTGCCTCTCAGACATGGAAATCCCTTCCCCAGACAGGAGTTCTCTCTCTCCTCCTCACTCTGAGTTGCTGAAGCTGATCCTAGTCTCTCCAAATGAGGAAACGAGGCACTCCAACACCTAGTCTCAATCCACTCGTCTGTGTGCGTTAACACGGCAGGCATCTTCTTCCTCTGTGGGTCCACAGCCCACTCTGTCTCCACCCACTGGACAGGTGCTTGCACCCTAGTCTACCCTGCCCCCCACATTAGGCTTGTCCTCCAAACCAAGAACCCCCTGTCCCTGCTACATTACATGCCTGCCCAAAAAGACCAATACTGTCCATTCCCTTATTACGAGCCCTCGGAGTCACCACCAGAGTCGGGTTAGGAACCGGAAGCCTGAGAACCTCGTTATCATATTTCCAGTCACTCTCCGGAGACTTCCAATCGTCACCAGAAGAAACAGACTCTATCACTCACCTCCAAAACCAACTAGACTCTTTATAGCACAATTCACCCTGCAAAACTGCAGGGGTCTAGACCGCCTCACTGCTGAAAAAGGTTTATGCCTATTTTTAAATGAACAATGCTGATTCTACCTCAGTGAATCAGGGCTAGTACAGCATGCTGTTAGTAACCCAGTGACCGAGCACGAAAACTTAAGACGGTCATTCCTCCTGCCTCCAGTGGTTCCGAAATTCCTGGGCGCCCTGGCTACTGTCCCTCGTAGGCCCCGCCAGAACCCTGTCCTCCTTCTAGCATTTGGTCCCTGCCTCTTACCACTCCTCACCCAGTTTTTACAGGACCGAGTTAAAGCTTTCACCCATGGGGCAATACAAGATACGAAGCCGCTCCAAGAACACCGACAGCTCCTGGAACGACCCCTGCAATCCAGCCTCCCAAAAAACGTCGATTCTCTGCAGCTGCGCTCCTATCCAGGCGCCACCGCAGAGCTGCCAGACCTGCCGCGATGAGCGCCGCCTGAATGCAGCCACCTGGGTGCCTGGGGCGGCCACGGAAAAACAAACTTTCCTGTTTACACTTCCTGGTTTTTTTTTTTTAAAACTGCCGCCACTAAAGTCACAGAATAATGTGTCTGTCGAAAGCTGAAACACGACCTCTGTACCTGTTACGAGCTGATAGATTCTGTCGGTCCTGAAACTCCCTTACGCCCCTCTAACCCCGCACACACCCCTCGTTTTGTAAGCTCGGGGCTGCCTCCCCTGACGCTTACGGGGCAGCCCGGCAGGTGACTAAAACCTGCTTACCTGACGGGTCAAGTCCCCTTTATCTCGGCTAATCCTAACCTTACTTGCCCTGTAACGGGCTTCCAGGACAAACCCGCGGGCCTCCAAACCTGGCGCGGCCCCCAATCCCGCCCTGGCCCCACCCCTCCCATCCCCACCCCTCCCCGGCCCGGCCCCGCCCGCCCCGGCCCCACCCCTCCCATCCCCACCCCTCCCCGGACCGGCCCCGCCCCGCCCTCTGCCCCGCCCCGGCCCCACCCCTCCTATCCCCACCCCTCCCCGGCCCGGCCCCGCCCCGCCCTCCGCCCCGCCCCGGCCCCCACCCCTCCCCGGCCCGGCCCCGCCCTCTGCCCCGCCCTGGCCGCACCCCTCCGCACCCCGCCCCGGCCCCACCCCTCCCATCCCCACCCCTCCCCCGGCCCGGCCCCGCCCCGCCCTCTGCCCCCGCCCCACCCCTCCCCGGCCCGTCCCCGCCCTCTGCCCCGCCCCGGCCCCACCCCGCCCCGGCCCGGCCCCGCCCTCGTCCCCGCCCAGGCCCCGCCCTCGGCCCCGCCCCTCTCCCCGCTCCCCCGTCCTAGACTCCGCTCCGGGCTCCAGGTCTGTGCGCCCCGATTCTCCACCAGCGCCCCTTCCTGGGCACAGCCCCGCTGGGGCCCTCCTGGTGGACACGAGGTGGTCCGGGGCGGGGTGACGGGCCCGCCCTTCCCTCTGCCCGCGGACGTCGCAGTCGGTGGGGCAGGATGAGCTCCGGGGCCGCCCCGCGGCTGCTGCGGCTCCAGCGACACCTGGGCCCCCAGGAGGTTAGGGGGGGCCAGGCCTGGACATGCCGGGCTCCTGTCCCCTCATCTGCCTAGGGCGGGGCTGGGCGTCGAGGACCCAGGAAAGGGGGCAGGGGGGAGAGAGCCCAGAGACCGGAGGGCCTGGGGGGGCGATGGCCCTTTCGTGGGGGCGTGGGCGGCAGACTGCGTCCCCAGTGGGGCGTGGGAGCGGGGGGATTGGCCGGGAAGGGTCCGCTGTTTACGTTTGGAGCCTCTTCAGCTGACTAGGCAGTTCCAGTAACCCTTGCCCCCTGTACCCTGGGCACTGGGAGGACTGTCCAGAGGGCTGTTTACACCTAACAGCCGGTGTGGACGCAGGATTGGGGCGGGTGGGCACAGGGCCCCCGAGGCTCACCCTGGCCACCTCCTCCTGGCCTAGGGCAGCAGCATGGAGCCTCTGGGCAGCCCACTGACCACCCATGTGCTGGATACCGCCTCCGGGGTCCCAGCCAGGGGCCTCTGCCTCTGCTTGTCCCGGCTGGAGGACCACAGCCAGCAGTGGATTGAGCTGAGGACTAGGTAGGTGGGAGACGCTGGGAGGGGGGTCCTGCCCTGAGACAGATGGCAGGGGCTAGGGAGCCAGGCAGTGAGGCTGGAGAGCAGAGCTGACCACTGCTGACCCTCCACTCAACCCGGGGTGCAGGGATGGATGGGGGCCTCCCTTCTGCTTCTCTCAGCCCATTTCCTCCTCTGAAAATACGGAAATGAGGAGAGGTGCGGTTCCCTCCCACCTCCAACCTCAGGCCACTGAGCACCTGATGGGGTGGGAGTGTTTCTGCCTGTTCCTGGCAGCTGTGCGGGGGTGGGGGGTTAGGTGAGCCCTGAGGGGAAATGGAAGCCTTCACTGTCTCTAAGATCACAGGTAGCCAGGCAGTAGCTGGACACTCTGCTCCTTCCATTCTCCATACACCTTGAGGCCAGCACCATGATTACTCCTACAGCAAGCCCAGGTCCGTGCTGGGATTCCCAGCCAGGCCTGAGGGCACTGAGCCCCTCAGCCTCCATGGGGCCTTGCCTACTGCCCCAGACACAGGCTCCATGGGCATTTCCCAGGTGGGTGTCACCCCACAGGCCTTATGGCCCTGCGTCGGAAGCAGGCCCCTCTCTTCCAGCCAGAAGGGCAGGACTGGGCCCACAGGATCAGGGTGTGACGGTGCCACTCCTACATCCTCATCTGACCCTCCACAAAAGCTGAGGCACTAATTCCTCCAGGTCCCACCTGAGGAATTAGGAGAGCACCATGTGGGCTACGCATCTCATGGAGGTTCCCCACATACACACGTGCTATACTTTTTTTTTTTTTTTTGAGACGAAGTCTCACTGTCACCCAGGCTGGAGTGCAGTGGCGCACTCTCAACTCACTGCAGCCTCCACCCCACAGGTTCAAGCAATTCTCTGCCTCAGCCTCTCTAGTAGCTGGGATTGCAGGCAAGGACCACCACACCTGGCTGATTTGTTTGTATTTTTAGTAGAGATGGGGTTTCACCGTGTTGGCCAGGATGGTCTTGAACTCCTGACATCATGGCCTCCCAAAGTGCTGGGATTAAAGGCAGGAGCCACTGCACCCAGCCTGCTCTTTCTAATCACAGTAGAAGCGCACACTTCAAAGACCAGCTGGCAAGAACAATGTGAGGTTTTCCGGGGGTGGCTGTGGGCAGAGCCACAGGCGTTCGGGACCCTGACAAGGCACCAAGGCACACTATGTGTGTGCTCCGTGCAGTGGGCAGGCCCGCCCTGTGGTGAGGGTTTGGTAGTTACTGACCCAGAAAGCCACAGCTTATAAAATAATACAAATAGTATAATCCATTTGATGAGTGATTTTAGGTTTCTCAACAAATACGCATAGAGAAAATCTGGAAAAATATATGCCAGCTCTAAGGTGGTTACTGCTCGTGGGGTACATTATGGGAGGCTTTTTCCTTTTTCTTCTCTGTGTTGTGATTCCTTAAAGACAGTGCTGTGGGGTCCTGACTCTCCGCAGCTGCAGGCCGAGTCCCACTGTGGCTGCTCGCCCAAGTCTGACAGGTGGGGTGGGGAGCTCCTCATCTCCCTGTCTGCACCCTCATCCTCTCCCCAGCTACACAGACGCAGATGGCCGCTGCCCTGGACTCCTGACTCGGGACCAGATGAAGGCAGGCACCTACAAGCTCACCTTCGACACGGCTGCCTACTGGAGGAAGAGGGGGCAGGAAAGCTTCTACCCATACGTGGAGGTGAGCGCCCCGGTGCGCTGGAGGGGCTGAGGTCTGTGACTCACTGGGACCGCAGGTCAGGTCCTGCTGGCCGGCATCATTTAGGCAGTGGGCAGACTGGTCCTGGGTGGTGGCAGGTGGGTGAGCTCACAAAAGAAAGGTTTCCAGGCAGCAAGACTGTAGGACACACCCATCGCTGACCTGCCCAGGGTCAGGCTTTGTGGGGAGACTGGGCCAGGGGTGACTCATCCCCTTTGTCGACAGAGGTTTACATCTGAGCCGACTCCAGCTCCGTGCCTGACCTCGTCACCTCACCCCGCACTGCACTGCACAGAAGCATCTGCCCTGTCACGCTGTGGCTGTGCTCAGGGCTGTGGCTTCTGAGGAATGTCCCTCTGGTGGGGAGGGTTCACCCCATCCCAGACCCTCAGTCTGGGCTGCTGAGCTCTCCCAGCCACGCTGGGGCTAGATGACCAGTTTGCTGCCGCCCCCTCAGCCTCTCCCCGGCCTTCTCTCCACCTCAGGTTGTTTTCACCATCCCCAGCGAGGCCCAGAAGTTCCACGTGCCCCTGCTGCTGAGCCCCTGGTCCTACACCACCTACCGAGGGAGCTAGAGCCAGGCCCCGCAGCAGGAGGCCACCTGACCCTTCCTGCACGCGGGCTGTGCCCCCCACCCTCAACAGGGAGCACCAGGGTCACCCACTTCCTAGGGAAGTCCCGGAGATTCCGAGTGGGCAGCTGTGACTCAGGGGTCAATAAAGTCACTGCCGACACCCGCAAAGCCGTCCAGTCGTCGGGACAACAATGGTGTGAAGACAGGCAGCACCCTGAGCCCAGCCTCAGGTGAGCACAGGGCCCTCTGAGAAGGTCCCGCTGTCTGCAGTTGGAGGTGACCAGGGAGCAGGCACAGGCTGGACATGGACCCAGCGAAGGAAGTGGCAGGGATGCCATGGGTGAGGGTTCTGCAGGCGGTTCTGTCCACGGAGCCAGGCAAGACGATGGAAGGACATGTGAAAAGCTTTCATTTGCTGATGATAAGATCTAAAACACCTGCTGTCCTGGATGTGAAAAGGGGTGTCATCCAGAGAGAGTTCCTAGGCTGGCTCTGGGGGCTGTGCCCCCCCAGGGGGGCAGCTACGTGGGGGTGCCCACCAGTCCCGCAGGGCCCTGGCCTAGCGTCTGCCCGACCACAGCTGTCTCCAAGGGCTTGAAGCCCAAGTTGTCCAGAGGGATCCCGAAGGCCAACAGCTTCGCCTGGTACGTGCGCAGCAGGTCATTGTGGGCCTGTGGGGACAGGGCAGCGTTAGGGAGCTGAGGGTCACTCCCAAGTACGTGCGCAGCAGGTCATTGTGGGCCTGTGGGGACGGGGCAGCGTTAGGGAGCTGAGGGTCACTCCCAGGCCCACCAGAGCTCAGGGCCCCCACGCTCAGGGTCCCCACACCCAAGGCCACCAGAGCTCAGGATCCCCACGCCCAGGCCCGCCAGAGCTCAGGGTCCCGGCGCCCAGGCCCAGGCCCACCAGAGCTCAGGGTCCCCATGCCCAGGCCCAGGCCCGCCAGAGCTCAGGGTCCCGGCGCCCAGGCCCAGGCCCACCAGAGCTCAGGGTCCCCACGCCCAGGCCCGCCAGAGCTCAGGGTCCCGGCGCCCAGGCCGGCCAGAGCTGAGTGCAGCTCCGTGGAGGGGCAAGCATCGTGAGCATCACGGTGTAAAAGGATAAAGCCAAAGACCTGTGAGTCATTTCCTGTGTGGGAGACATCATCCAGCTCAGGTATCACAACAGGGAGAGGCCATCACTACTCCCATTCCGCAAATGAGGAGACAGAGGCAGAGGGCAGAGACACTCGGGGGCAGAGCTGTGGTCTGAGAGGCTCTGCCCCTGGCTGGATGTTCCTCCCACAGGTTCTTCACGCCCCCCCCTACCCAGGGGAAGGGGCTGACCAGGGAAGGGTCCAGGTGCCCCCACACCCATCCCAGCAGAGACAAGGCCTCGATGACAGTGCTGTGCCCCAAACCAACAGAACCCAGCTGCCCTCAGCCATGACTGCACCCTCAGTGGGGACAGTGACGGCTGCCTTGTCAAACAGGGTACAAAGTGGGCACCAGTGGGGTCCCAGCATCTGCATTTAGAACAGGCTGGCACCGAGGGTGTCTCTGAGGGAGGGCAGCGCACCTCGTACCTTACAGACCCGGGCCAGCTCATACTGCAGGTCCTTGATGGTGCTGTTCTTCAATTCCAGGACATCCTGAGGAGAGAGGTGAGAGTTTGAGGCTCATCTTCTCACCAAGGCAATGCGGGTGCCTGGGGGCTCCAGGCTCTCCTCAGAGACCCGGGGAATAACAGCCTGGTTCGACGGTGCCTCCATCCACACAGGGTTTTCAGCAGAAAAAGGTCTCCAAGGGTTGAGAGAAAACACGGGAGGAGCAGAGAACAGGGAGCCACACGTCTCCATAAAGAAATGGTCCAGGCCGGGCGAGGCAGCCCATGCCTGTGATCTCAGCATTTTGGGAGGCCAAGACGGCGGATCCCCTGAGGTCAGGAGTTCAACACCAGCCTGGCCAACACGGCAGAACCCTTTTTTCTTTTTTTTTTAATAAAGACAGGGTTTCACCATGTTGGCCAGGATGGTCTTGAACTCCTAACCTCAGGTGATCCACCCACCTAAGCCTCCCAAAATGCTGAGATTACAGGCGTGAGCCACCATGCCCGGCCGAAACTCTTTCTTTACTAAAAATACAAAATTAGCCAGGCGTGCTGGCTCACACCTATAATCCCACCACTTTGGGAGGCCAAGGCGGGCAGATCACTTGCAGTCAGGAGTTTGAGACCAGCCTGGCCAATGTGGTGAAACCCTGTCTCTACTAAAAATACAAAAATTAGCCAGGTGTGGTGACTCAAACCTGTGTAATCCCAGCGACTTGGGAGTCTGAAGCACAGGAGTCACTTGAAGCTGGGAAACAGAGGTTGCACTGAGCTGAGACTGCACCACTGCACTCCAGCCTAGGTGACAGAGCAAGACACAATCTCAAAAAAAACCAGTCCAAACCCAAAAGAAACGCAGATGAGGTGACGGCAGGCGGCGTGCAGCCACACACGGAGACTGTCCGCTGAACACCACTCACACCCTGCTTACACGTCTCGAAGCTTGTGAATATATTCTCCCACTATTTCCTAACAGAAAAAAGTGGTCTTCAGCAGCGTTGGCCCGCCCAGATGTGGGCAAGGGTCTCACCACACAGCCAGGCCGGGGCCTTCTTGGGCTACTGCCTGTGGCCATGACTGGGCCCAGCCTAGCTTTAGAGCCGTCTCTGCTGCCCAAGGACAGAGCAGCCCTCACACCTGCGCAGCCTGCAAACAGTGTCCCTGCCGGGGCCTCTGTCACTTCGCCAGAAGATTCCTCACTTAGAAGTCATGGTCACAATGACCAGGAAAGGAAGAGCTGACCCACATTTGGCTCCACGCTCACCCTGGTGCGTGGGTACAGCAGCAGTGACCCTCATCTCAGTGGTTCAGCAGCCGGCCGGGTGCAGCCTCAGTCAGGAGCTGGGAACGCACCTCGTCCTCCTCCCAACAGTGGGACCTCACTCCCTCACCTGCCTGTGCTCACGGCCCAGTGCCGAGCAATCCCAGGGTCTGCCTCTGGTCCCAGTGAGACCCCACTTATACAGCCTCACTACCTCAGGCCCTGAGAGCCAGGCCATCCCAGATGACAGCGTCCCACAGGCACCACTGCCCACTAGGCCAGGACCCACAGTTCCCCAGTGTGCAAACAGCACACCAAGCCGCCTTGGCCCCTCCCAGCCCCGCATGTCGACTCAGCCTCTGGGCAGCTCTCAAATCCTCTGCCCATCCCCATTCTGTGCTGGCCCCCACCTGCCCCCTCCAGCCCTGCGATCCTCAGCAGTGGCAGGGTAGGCTCTGTCCAGTTCTTCCATGGTTACCAACCGGCCCGGGGAAGACACAGCTGACAGGCCTTTCAGAACCAGCCCCTCAGTCTTGCATCTGCCTAACACCTGGTGTCCCCAGGGCAGCTCAGCAAGGGGCTCCAGCCTGGACGACAGAGCGAGACTCCAACTCAGAAAAAAAAAAAAAAAAGAGATTAGCTGACTTGAAAGAGGGCAGCCCTCAGCCTGGTGTCAATGGTGAGCACATGCATTTGTGTTTAGCTCAACTGCGTGTGGACCAACCACCTTAAAAATGCCATCTGGAGGCCAGGCACGGTGGCTCACACCTGTAATCCCAGCACTTGAGGAAGCCGAGGTGGGTGGATCTCGAGGTCAGAGACTGAGACCATCCTGGCCAACGTGGTGAAACCCCATCTCTACTAAAAATACAAAAATAAGGTCAGGTGTGGTGGCTCGCACCTGTAATCCCAGCACTTTGGGAGGCCAAGGCGGGCAGATCACAAGGTCAGGAGTTGAAGACCAGCCAACATGGTGAAACTGTCTCTGCTAAAAATAAAACACTTAGCCAGGCGTGGTGCCTGTGATCCCAGCTACTCGGGAGGCAGAGGCTGCACCACTGCACTCCAGCCTGGGTGACAGAGCGAGATTCAGTCTCGAAAACAAAACAAAAAAATACCATCTGTGAACGTTCTCAGGATAACAGATGCTTCCACAGTGAGGAAGCCTCGAGCCGACGTCCCAGGCATCTGTCGCTGAAGGACGAGCCCAGCACAGCAGCAGAGTCAGACGGTGCGCGGTGGCCCCAAAGGCTGCATCTCTGTGACCAGCCAGTCTCCCTCTGCAGGGCCTGTTGGTGAAGACCTCACGACCAGCTGTTGCAAGCTCAGGGGCAGCAGCTGGGCCAGGGGCATGCGTCATGCATCATGCATCTTGGAGGGCCCCAAGGAAGCCACAGGCTGTGCCTCAACTGACCAGGATTCCAGTGTCAGTCAGAGACCTTTGCCCTGTGCCTGTTCCTCTGTGACTTTCCCTAACCAGGTCCCGGGAACAGAGGCCAGGCCCAGGTCCAGAAGCTAGACACAGGTAAGAGGCACCTGTGAGGCAGTCTGAGGCTCCAGCATCCTCCTGATCTTCCAGGGCATGCTGTCTCTCCCCATGGGGGGCCCAGGCCTCATCTGCTTTATCCCAGGACACCCTAGCAGAGCAGCACCATACATAACTGTGACACAGAACGATGGAATGTTCCGGGCTCTTCTTAGACCTCATGTCCCCAGTACCTGCAAAGTGGGGTGAGGGTCCCCAGGCTCCCATGACCCTGCACTGCCCATGTCCTAACCCAGCCCGTCTCAGGGCATCCCGGCACCCTCTCTGTCCCAGGATGGGGGTGGTGCCTGAGCTGAGAGCTCAGGAGATACAACCACCCTCCAGGCCTGTGTCTGTCACCTGGGCCTTGCTGTCACCAACGGAGGCGCTCAGGCCCACAGAGACTCCACGTGGCTTTTCCACTCCCACACCCATTGTCAGGCTGCACTGAGATGACTAGAGCCTTAGATGCCTGGATGAGCCAGGCCTGAGAACTGGAGTGAGCAGAGACCCAGAGGTTAGCAGGCACCATGAGGTCACACAGGGTCCGGGGAAGATCAAGAGACTTCAGCAGAACTGATGAGAGGAGACCACCAGCTAAGACAGCGAGAGACAGCCATGCCACTCTGTTCTCGGGCAACAAGAAGCCCATGAATGCCCCCGTCCAGTGGTTGACCGAGGGGTCTGTGCCCATCCGAGGAGGCACAGCACGGAACGGAAGGGTCCTGCCATAGGGAAGAGGCTGCCCACTGGGGCGGCCTACCTCAAGGGCCTACCTCGAGCTTGCGGGACACCAGCGTCAGGGATGCAGGGTCCAGGTTGGAGGCCGCCAGCACCTCGTTGAACTGCACCTCCTTCTTCTCCACAGCAGCGCTGAGGGCCTGCAGCTTGCGCTCTAGCACCAGGTTCTTAAAGCCGGTCTTCTGCTGCACCTCCTGGATAGCAGCAGTGAACTTCTGGTAGAGCTCATCCCGCTCCTGCTGCACCTGCAGGGACAGTGCTGGGTGGGCTGTGAGGCCCCTCCCCTGGGGACATCTCACTGGGGAGAAGCTGCCTCCCACCCAAACACGGCGCTTCTTTCTCTGGGAGGTGGCTTTCCAACAGTGCCCACCCCCATAGCACCGAGCGGTTGTTATCCACACTGCCCACACGCTGGCCCTCTGCACAGCTGTCCACACAGCATAAGCCTTCTCAGGAAGGTGTCTCTAGAAGCCATGAGTCCTGGTAAGAGCTAGAGCAGCCCCACCCTGAAAGCCACTCCATGGGTGGCTCCGAGCGAGGGCTGTGGGTTCAGCGAGGACGTGGGATCCCAGGCATCCAGCAGGCAGAGCTGCGGGTGGGCCCGTGGAGGATGCGCTCTCTCGGATCCCACGTGCAGCCTGGCCCACAAATGGAGGACCTGAAGAACAGCCTTGGAGCCAGCCGCCTGCCAGCCAGTAAAACCATTCTTTTTCACCTAATTTTTCTACGAATTATGCACTCTAAACAAATCTAGACTTTGTCGAAGATTATAAAAAAGTGAACAGCCTGAGCTCGACACGGTGGCTCACGCCCGTCATCCCAGCACTTTGGGAGGCTGAGGTGGGTGGATCGCCTGAGGTCAGGAGTTCAAGACCACCCTGGACAACATCGTGAAACTCTCTCTACTAAAAACACAAAAATTAGCGGGGTGTGGTCATAGGTGCCTGTAATCCCAGCTACTAGGCAGGCTGAGGCTGGCGGAATGCTTGAACCCTGGAGGCAGAGGTTGCAGCAAACTGACATTGCACTACTGCACTGCAGCCTGGGCAACAAGAGCAAAACTCCAGCTCAAAAAAGTGAACCCCTTAACCCCAGTTCCCAGAGGCCACCATTATGAACACGTGGTGTGACCCCTTCTAGAATGTTCTCTATGCATTTAGAGATTTCGCTGAGAGCGAAACCGCTTCCTATTTGCAGCCTGAAACACTGTGAGATTAAAAAGCAAGCTGTGCTTATGCCTGATCCTGTGTTTGTAATCCACAGTCACATGCACACTAGAGCATCCGGGAAACCAGGAAGGGAGCTCATAAAGCTCGCCAGTGTGAAGACCAGTGCTGAGCAGCTAGAGACTCATTTTTTTTTTTTTTTAGATGGGGTTTCACTATGATGGCCAGGCTGGTCTTGAACTCCTGACCTCAGGTGATCCACCCACCTTGGCCTCCCAAAGTGCTAGGATTGGAAGTGTTTGGAAGAAAAAAGGACCATGCTAAAACACCGCAGCTTTCTCCAAAGCCACAACCTGTGATACCTGCAGCACCTCCAGGACAGCACCTGGCCCTGCACTCCTTCTAACTGGTGTCAGAATTCCCCAGATTTGCGGAAATCCAGTTCCTTGTCCATATGCATTAGACTGTAAGTGTCTTTGGTCTCTACATTTTGCTGACAAATTTGAGCTCTCGGTTCTCTAGGAAGAGGCACTGACTTTGATAACTTCAGGAACTACATCCAAATAGAAGAAAATCTGGCAGAGAACAAGGCTCCAACCCAGGCACGTCTCTGCTCTCCTCTTCCTAATAAGGAGGGAGTGTCCAGGGACAGAGACAAGACCCAGCATTTACTCAAAACCCACAGCGGGGAGGAAGGGTCCCTGTGTAACACAGCAGTCCTCTGGGTCTCACCGGCTGCCTTGCAGATGCCCTTCCCCTGAGCTGTGCAAACAGGGCTGCACCCGGGAGCTGGCACAGCCCAGCAGTGCAAGTCCTGCAGGACCCGAGGCATCTCTGAAGGTGGGTCTAGATGTGACAGACAGACGGGATGTTCCTGAGGGGCCAACCCCACTACAACTGTCTGTGCTCATAAATGTCAATCAAGTTGGAGGACAGAAACAGCACCCATCACTGCTGCTTAAGGTAAGGTGCTCCAGCCACGCAAACCACAGACAAAGCCTGAGGGGCCCATGGTGCTGGACCGGTCCTTGGCCAGAACTTTGAAACTGCGCAGAGGCAGGGAGTGTCCAGGGACAGAGACAAGACCCAGCATTTACTACTCACTGGAAATCTCAGAAGCGCACGCTAAATGAGTTGTTTCCCACCCAATCACATGTGCACAGGTTTAAACCTGTTGAGGAAGGATGGAAATGGCCCCTCCAGCACCCTGGCAGGAGTGTGACTCAGAACGGCCCTCTGGACAGACGATCACAATCCTCAACACGGACCCCTCAGACCTGACAATCCCACTGCTAGGCACCGGCTTTCCTAAGACGCAATCTTACACAGGGGCACAAAGACACATTTATTGAGGCAGCCATGCTTACAACAGCAGAGGATCAGAAACAGGGGAGTCAGCTACATGAGCAATCGGAGCGCCATGTGGCTGAGAGCGAAACCGCTTCCTATTTGCAGCCTGAAACACTGTGAGATTAAAAAGCAAGCTGTGCTTATGCCTGATCCTGTGTTCGTAATCCACAGTCACATGCACACTAGAGCATCCGGGAAACCAGGAAGGGAGCTCACAAAGCTCGCCAGTGTGAAGACCAGTGCTGAGCAGCTAGAGACTCATTTTTTTTTTTTTTTTTAGATGGGGTTTCACCATGATGGCCAGGCTGGTCTTGAACTCCTGACCTCAGGTGATCCACCCACCTTGGCCTCCCAAAGTGCTAGGATTACAGGCATGAGCCACGGCACCCGGCCTGGAGACTCATTTTAACTTACACTTAAGACCCCAGGACTTCTTTACAATGAGAAAGTAATAGGTTAGTACTTAGAAACATACACACATGGAAGAAAGACATGCTGAAGGCGCCAGGCCTCCTTCATGTGCTCAGAGGGGAGCTCTTAAGAAAACAAAAGTCATGTGTGATCCTCTCCCCATGAGACCCCAGGCCTCCTGCAGGACACGCAGGTGAGTCATGTGTGATCCGCTCCCCATGAGACCCCAGACCTCCTGCAGGACACGAATGTGAGTCATGTGTGATCCTCTCCCCATGAGACCCCAGGCCTCCTGCAGGACACGCATGTGAGTCATGTGTGATCCGCTCCCCATGAGACCCCAGGCCTCCTGCAGGACACACATGTGAGTCATGTGTGATCCGCTCCCCATGAGACCCCAGGCCTCCTGCAGGACACGCATGTGAGTCATGTGTGATCCGCTCCCCATGAGACCCCAGGCCTCCTGCAGGATATGCATGCAAAATAGGCCACAGGTTTTAGCCTCTTAGAAGCTGTGGGATGAGTTACAGCCTCAGGACCCAGAAACATGGTGAAGGTACCTGAAGCTGTTCCAGGGGCCAGGGCAACAAGGAGAGCCCCGTCCCTGGCTGGCAGACAAAGGCCTGTCATGACCTGTCACTACCACTGCCCGTGGCAGGGCCAGCCTGGTGCCCACTCACCTTGGTGAACCGCTGCTCTAACACTTCGTGCTCCCACTGCAGATCTTTCAGCTCTTTCTCTGTGACTTTTAAACGTGCTTTTGTGCACTGTAGAAAAAAGAGGGAGCAGGGACAGAAAGTATTCAAGATTCACAGTCATCAGGTAACAGTCTCCTGGGAGATGGCAAGACCAAAAACCATCGCCGTTAAGACCAGGCTCCAGGACACCAGCAGCTGTGCCCCGCCAGGGCAGGTCAGTAGCATGCGGTAAAGATGAAGGTCTCCAAAACACCCCCAGGCTTGACTTTCCCCAGAAAACAAGGCTGAGAGAGGAGAAATGCCAGCCTCCCCATCCCCCTTCCTGCCCTGAGGGCCAAGCCCCAGGTGGAGCCTCAGGGATCCCCATGATGTTCCTTCCTCCTGAGCTGAGGCTGGTGCCAAGGAGGGAGATGCCTCCAGCAGGAAACTCACCAGCAGGGTCTGCTTGTCCCTCTCGTAGTTCACGAGCTGCTTCTGCATCTCACCCATCTCCTCACGAGCCTTCAGGAGAGGCTCCGCCAGGCGCTTGTTCTGCACAGACACCTCGGCCATCTCCCTCTCCAGGCGGTCCTCCTTCTTCCGCATGTCCTCCATTTGCTCCTGCAGGCACAAGCACGGGCCCAGGAGGAGTCAGCAGGCAGAACCAAAGGGGCCACGGCTGCAGGGGGAGCCAGGGGGCCCTCCTGCCCACAAACAGGTCCTGTGGCCACATGCACGCTGGCACTTAGATCCCCGTTGTAGGTATAAACACAGTATATCTGCAGTTTCACCTTATTCTGAGTTTTCTGGGAATGCAGCTTCCACGCAGATGGAGGGACTACACTTTGTTCGAGATTCCACCAAGGGCCGTTGCCTCTTGTAGAAAATCCTATCACTGCCAGCATGTGAGTGATAAGGACACCTGTCCACTCCAGCCACAATGGGTACCCACTGCAGCTCCACCAAGCTTTACAAATGAATTACACTTGATCACCTCCCCCTCTCACTATGGTGAGAAAATGTCCTAACGGCTTTTAACAATACGTATAGACAGGTTACATTATTTAGGAATTTCAATTAAGGATACTAGAGGGGCACTGTCAAATAATCTTATGAAAGGGCGTGTGTTGGGAGGAGGGCTGGGGTCTGGATCCCCAGGACTCTGCAGCCCACATCCTGGCACAGGCAGAGTATGTCTCCCCAAGCCCACCTCTTGCGCAGCACCTCACCTTGAGGGAGCTGATGAGGGCCAGGTTGTTGAGGGTGATGTCGTTGTAATAGTTCTTGATGTCGGTGAAGGCCTCCTCATGGCGCTGCATCAGCGTGTTGATCTGGCTGTTCTTCCTCTCCTCCACTTCATGCAGCTCGGTCTTTCTCTGAAGATCGAGCTCGTCCCTCAGCATCTTCATCTTCTTGTCATACTTGGCCTCAATTTCTGAAAGGCAGCCACAAATAGCAGCTTAGTAAGAAGGTGCCCCTAGGACTACAGAACAGGGAGCCTGTAAACAGGACCCCAAACGCCCACTGTGGTCAGAACAGCTCTGCAAGCGAGCTCTGCAGAATAGAGGGCTTTAGTGCTTTCTGCTGATGCTCATACTCAGCACACATGCCAGTGTCCACCTGCCTTTGCCAGTGACAGGCATTGCTAATCGCTCCCTGCACTGGGACTGCCAACAGCTGAACGTCAGCTGACCCCAGGGAGCGAGCGTAATCAGGGCCCGTGTGGCCATCCAGACACAGACTATAGGCTCTTATTAGTAAACCAGACAGACTTCAGAAATTGGAGCCTTCTCAGACCAGGAACCATGGAGAAGACTATTTTAAGAATGCTGCCCACGGCATTGAGTAACTACCACCTGCTGGTATCTCCCGATTTTAGCTAGGAGTGGGAAAGTGTGTGATCATCACAGCCTCCCAGACTCACATGGAAGTAAGTCGTTCTGGGATTCTGAGTGGGTCCGCTGACCTTGGAAACTCCCACATTCTTTCCCTTGCATGCTTGGGCTGTTTTAACCTAGTTTGTGTTCCCTGAGTTCACAAGCTCTGGAGGTAAGTTCCTTTCTGATGGGGGCTCTGGCACCACCCTACACAATGAGCATGGGGGAAACTGACCTCGAACTTGCCTCTCGAAATCATTCCGCAACTTGGTGATCTCCTCAGCGTGTTTCTGCACAGGGGAAAAGAGGCCGTTACTGGACAGCCAGACACAGAGTGAAGCCCATGCCCTTCAGGCTGACCCTGGTCCTAACCTCCATGAAAAACCTAGCTCAGCAAACATCATTCTGCTGCTGGCTGCTGGGTTCTCCACACCTCCAGGTTCATGGAATATGCCCTGGTGACCTCCACATTTCCTAACTCACCTCCCTCAACTAAATCACCTCTAAGCTTGAGGGGGAACATGAACAGACACTGTGAGCACTGAACCCAGCTTTGTTCCCTTGCCAAACCATCCCACAGCCTGGAGAGCAGTCACATCCACACAGAGCTGTGGGATCTCTGCAGGTCCCGTGTGTAGCTTCCAACCTGCTGCACTGTTGCCTAAAGCAGCATTTTAAAAGTATTTTAACAGGCTGAGCGTGGGGACTCATGCCTGTAATCCCAGCACTTCGGAGGCCAAGGCAGGAGGATCACTTGAGGCCAAGAGTTCAAGAGCAGCCTAGGCAACATAGCAAGACCCTCTACAGAAAATTTAAAGATTAGGTGCGTGTGGTAGCACATGTCTATAGCTCCAGCTGCTTGGGAGGCTAAGATGGAAGGATCACCTGAGCCCAGGAGTTTGAAGCTGCCGTGAGCTACAATTGTACCACTGCACTGCAGCCTGGGAGACAGAATGAGACCTCATCTCTAAAAATAAATAAATATATATTTTTTTAAACAAATAATCTGTATATATTATATTTCAATAAACATTATATATTAAAATTTTGAACAAAAAAATCATTTTTTTTCCTCGAGACAGAGTCTCACTCTGTCACCAGGCTGGGGTGCAGTGGCGCAATCTCAGCTCACTGTGACCTCCACCTCCCAGGTTCCAGTGATTCTCCTGCCTCAGCCTCCCAAGTTGCTGGGATTACAGGCACAGGCCACCACACGTGCCTGTAAATAGAAAATAAACTAGAAAATAAAATTTTTGTATTTTTAGTAGAGACAGTTTCACCATGTTGGCCAGGATGGTCTCGATCTGCTGACCTTGTGATCCACCCACCTTGGTCTCCCAAAGTGCTAGGATTACAGGCTTGAGCCACTGCACCAGGCCATTTGATTTTTTTTTTTTTAAAGCAGTATTTTCATCCAACAGGGAACACTGATTATATACAGGACCCGGATTAAGATCAGACAATTCTGGAGGGTTCAAGACTTCAGCACCCTCATGCTTTGCTGTGAAGTCAGCAGTGTCACCAAGTTTCTTCCAGATTCATTTGAGGCTGAACTGCTTCCAGGCATGAGGCAAATGTGTTAAAGTCTCCTTGAGACCAGGCACAGTGGCTCATGCCCACAATCCCAGGACTCTGGGAGGCCGAGGTGGGCGGATCACCTGAGGTCAGGAGTTTGAGACAGCCTGGCCAACATGGTGAAACCCCATCTCTACAAAAATACAAAAATTAGCCAGGCATGATGGCAGGTGCCTGCAATCCCAGCTACTTGGGAGGCTGAGGTGGGAGAATGGCTTAAATCCAGGAGGCGGAGGTTGCAGTGAGCCATGATCGTGCCACTGAATTCCAGCTTGGGTGACAGAGCGAGACTCTGTCTCCAAAAAGAGAAAGAAAGAAAGTCTCCTCTATCCAGCACCAGGAAGAACCTTTGAAGACTAAAGTCAGACATATCTCTCCTCCGCCCCAGTTCTCAGAGTGCAGTGGACTCCCCCAGGTCAAGGTCCCAGTCCTCACCCAGCTTTCAAGGCGAACAAACACAGACCCCTCTCCCCCAGTGTCCTCCTTCTGTTCCTCTGGGCCTTCCCACTGGCCCGCCCCTCTCCCCGCTGGTCACCTACTTGTACAAACTGTACCCCTCCCCTCCCCACTTTGCTTTCTCTGTGTCATGTGTTCCCACCAGATTCTGTTTTATCTGACACATTTATTTTGTCTTTCAACTCACCTGTTGTCCTTTCTAGACCATCAGCCCCGGTCAGGCAGGCATTTTGTCAGAGATCAGATCAGGACCTAGCAGCTAATGGACACTCAGCAAACAAATTTCTTTCTTTTTTGTTTTGTCTCACTCTGTCACCGAGGCTGGAGTGCAGTGGCACAACCCTAGCTCACCAGAGCCTTGACTTCCTGAACTCAAGGGACCCTCCCACCTCAGCCTCCCAAGGAGCTGACACAGGCACGTGCCGCCGCGCAAGCTTATGTTTGTTGTTACTGTTATTTGAGACGGGGTCTCCCTCTGTCGTCCAGGCTGGAGTGAAGTGGTGCCATCTCGGCTCACTGCAGCCTCCACCTTCCGGTTTCATGCAATTCTCTGGTCTCAGCCTCCCAAGTAGGTAAGATTACAGGCACCCACTACCATGCTAATTTTTGTATTTTTAGTAGAGACGGAGTTTCACCATGCTGGCCAGGCTAGTCTCGAAATCCTGACCTCATGATCCACCCGCCTCGGCCTCCAAAAGTGCTGGGATGACAGGCCTGATCTACCTCACCCGGCCATGGGTTTGTTTTGTTCTGTTTTTCTGTAGAGATAGGGTTCATCCTGCTGAGCAGTCTAGGGAAAAAGAAAGAAGTCAAAAAAAAAAGAGAAAAAACAAGATAGGGTTCAGCGATTTCACCCAGGCTACTCTCAAACTATTGGCCTCAACCGGTTCTCCCATCTAACCCTCCCAAGTGCTGGGATTATGGGTGTGAGCCACTGAACCAGGTGCACAAATCAGTTTTAACGGTGCCCTGGAAACCCCCAGCTTCAAAAGTAAAAATCAGCACAGCTTGTGTGACAAACCGTCACAGCTGCCCAGGGGCCGACACACTGGACATTTTAATGGTTGGCTCACTTTGTACTAAATGCCTTTGACACTATTCTCTAGGGAAGTACCTGAGCATCATGTGTCAGCAGCACATCAAAGACCCTGAGCTGGATTTTTCTTCGGGGATGTCAATTTTTTCCTCAGGGCTCAGACAGCACTGTGCACTTGGTCCCAAAATGGGGTTTGTTTGGATACATGCTTAAAAATATATATGTATTTCAACAAACTGAAAAAATGCAGGCGATCCTATGCAAAAATATGAATTCCTAGTTGCTGTTGAATCGACCAGAGTTCATGCAGCACTGGGCTTGCATCCCCAAAAATCTGTCAGCCCCCACGTGCCCCCGTCACACCTACCAGCCTCAGGTTCTTCACCACCACCTCACTGGCCAGCTCCTGCTCCTTGAGCTCCACCTTCAGCGCCCGCATATCCTTGCGCAGCGCACCCTCCTGCGTGTGGTGCTCCTTCTGTGCTAGCTTCATGATCACCGCGCCCTCAGCCTTCATCTCTGTCAGGTTGTTCTGGTGCTCATAGAGCAGGTGCTTCACTTTCTGCTTGTACACCTGCAGGGCAATGAGAATACCACCTGTTCACCTGCACCACACCTGCTCACCCATACCTGCTCACCTGCACCACACCTGCTCACCTACACACCTGCTCACCTACACACCTCCTCACCTGCACCACACCTGCTCACTACATACCTGCTCACCTACACACCTCCTCACCTGCATACCTGCTCAGCTACACCACAGCTGTTCACCTACACACCTCCTCACCTGCACCACACCTGCTCAACCGTACCTGCTCACCTGCACACCTGCTCACCTACACACCTGCTTACCTGCACCACAGCTGCTCACTACACACCTTCTCACCTGCACACCTGCTCACCCACATCACACCTGCTCACCTACATCACTCCTGCTCACCTACACACCTGTATACTTGCTCACCTGCATCACACCTCACCTTCACCACAGCTGCTCACCTACACACCTCCTTACATGCACACTTGCTCACCTACACACCTGCTCACCTACACCACCTCACTTGTACACACCTGTACACACCTGCTCACCTACACCACCTCCTCACTTGTACACACCTGTACACACCTGCTCCACCTGCACCCACCTGCTCACCTATACCATACCTCCTCATCTGTACACACCTGCTCACCTGCACCACACCTCCTCACCTATACATACCTGCTCACCTGCACCCACCTGCTCACCTATACCATACCTCCTCACCTATACACACCTGCTCACCTGCACCACACCTCACCTGTACACACCTGATCACTTGCACCCACCTGCTCACCTAACCACACCTGCTCACCTGTACATACCTGGTCACTTGCACCCTCTTGCTCACCTGCACCCTCTGCTCACTTTCATGCTTCCTCACCCACACACATCTGTACACACGTGGTCACTTGCACCCACCTGCCCACCTGTACACATCTGTATGCACCTGATCACTTGCACCCACCTGCTTACCTGCACCCACCTGCTCACACCTCATCTGCACATACCCACCCCACCTGCTGACCTGTATCACCTCCTCACCTGTATTACCTGTGCCATCTGCTCACCTGCCCATGCCTCCTCACCTGCACACACCTACCCACTTGCATCCAGCTGTTCACCTGCACCATCTGCTCACCTGTCCACACCTCCTCACCTGCCCACACCTCCTCACCTGCCCACACCTCCTCACCTGCACACACCTGCTCACCTGAACCATCTGCTCACCTGCCTACACCTCCTCACCTGCCCATGCCTCACCTGCACACACCCACTCATTTGCATCCACCTGCTTACATGCACCATCTAACCACCTGCACACACCCACCCATTTGCATCCTCCTGCTCGCCTGCACCATCTGCTCACCTGTACCCACCTCCTCACCTGTACACACCTGCTCACTTGCATCCACCTGCTCCCTTGCATGACTCCTCACCTGCACACAGCCACACATGCCTGTTCACTTCAGCAAACCTGCACACTTGAGGCAGAGTCAGACACCAAGGCTGGGAGGTGAGGTGCATCCCCAACTCACAGGGTGCTGAGGGGCAGAGCTGAGTTGCAAACAGGCCAGCCTGTCCCCAAAGCCCTTGCTCCTTCCATGTTGTGGAGGCTGCATGTTAAACCTCAGGACCTGCTGGGTCTCTCATGACACTGGAGAGATGAAGTGTCTCTCCCTCAGCCTCTTTTATAAAAAACAGCGTTGGGGCTGTGACTCCCAAAGCCGAGGACAGACAGTGTCCCAGCCTCACCCTCATTGGGCCCAGTTCCTCTGTGGCTGTGTGGTGACCAGGTGGGCACAGGCAGACTGGCCTCACTCACCTTGATCTCCACCTGGTGCCTCTCCTCGGCCTCTTCCATCTCCCGATCCTTGTTCCGAAGCTCAGCCTTCTTTTCCTCCAGCTGCCTCCGGGTGATCTCCCAGAAGGTGTGGATCTTGTCCCGCTCCAGCTGGAAGTAGTTGCGCTCCTCCCGCTCACGGTCCAGCTCCTCCCGGATACGGCCCAAATGCTCCTCCACCTGGCCAGGTGCAGTGGGTCAGGTGAGCACTGGGCAGGGGCCCATGCATAGCAGAGGGGCAGATGGCCGGAGAAGGGCAAGGAAGGAAGAGGGTGGACCCGTTTTCACCTAAAATTAGACAGCTGAACATAAAAAGTTAAGATATAAAGCTAGGAAGCTCCAGAGACAGAATGCATTCAACAAGTGGCAGAATTCTCTTCAATTTGGCCAATAAACATAAAATAACTATATCCTTTCATCCATTTCTGAGAATTTATACCTAAGAAATTTCTCGAAAGAAATATAAGAGCTTGTTGCTGAAAGATATTACCCACACCATTATTACAAGAGCAAAAATATTAAAGAGGAAACCATCTGAGACCAATGTAAACAGGGAATGGGCAAGAGGTACTGGCTCTCGCCTGCAATCCCAGCACTTTGGGAGGCCGAGGTGGAAGGATCCCTTGAGCCCAGGAGTTTAAGCCAGCTTAGGCAACATAACGAGACCCCATCTCTGCAAAAAAAAATTTTTTTTAATTAGCCAGACGTCATGGCACGTGCCTGTAGTCTCAGCTACTGGGAAAGCTGAGGTTGGAGAGTCACTTAGGCCCAGAAGGTAGAGGCTGCAGTTAGTCATAATAAAGCCACTACACTCGAGCCTGGGTGACAGACTGAGATTCCGTCTCAAAAAATAAACAGCCAGGCATGGTGGCTCCCAGCATTTTGGGAGGCCAAAGCGGGAGGATCTTTTGAGCCTGGGAGTTGACCAGCCTAGGCAACATGGCAAAACCCCGTCTGTACAAAACAGAAAAATAAAAATGAGCCAGGAGTGGTGGCACACGCCTACAGTCACAGCTACTGGGAACACTTGGGGAGGACGATCGCTTGAACCTGGGAGCTCGAGGCTGCAGTGAGCCGTGATCACACCACTGCACTCCACCCTGGGTAACAGAGCAGGACCCTGTCTCTAAAACATAAATAAATGAATACAGCAATGGTTGAAAACTTACAGTACATCAACTGGGAGAAATATCATATTACCCAAAAAACAAATATAGAAATGAGGTAGCAGCATTTAAACAGATTCATGTAATGTTAAATGAAAAAAAAAATCATCTTTAAAGATACAATGTTAAGCAAAAAATACGCAAGACCAGCAGACTCCTAACCCTCAAGAGGGTTCAACTGCAAATCTGAAAATAGGTTAAAAAAAATGTAGGACAGGCTTCCAGCTTTCTGGGGAGCAAGAATCAGTTATTTTTTGGGCACAGCCCCAGGCCCCTCCAGCCAGGCGTGTCCAGGTCACCTCCAGCCCTACCCTCTGCCTGGATCCTGAAGAAGTCTTCTGAGTCTGTGGCTCCGTGTGCCATGCGCAGCGCAAGGCCCTGCCCAGTGGACTGCAGAGTCACTGCCATGCAAGGCCTGTCTCCACAGGAAGGGGAAGCAAACAGGGAGGCGGCAACAGCTCACATGCTAGGACAAGGCAACGTTCAATCCATTCGGCGGCTCCAGACACCTTTCCAGAACACAAACCTCGCCCCGTCACCTCTTCGCTCAGCCCCTGGCTTGAACTGCCCATGCTTTCTCTGAACGTAAAACACACACGTCCTTTAGCACGTTTCAAGGACCTCTGCCCAGCTCCAACTTCGGGTCATACGACTCTTCTAGTCTCCTTCATATTTATTTTTTATCTTAATACTACCAAAAAAAGGTAACAATGATTAACAATAACACATGAGCTGACACAGCACTCACGTCCTGGGTCAGAGGCTCATGAGGCAGTCATCCATCAGGGCAGAGGCTAGAGGCTGCACTGGGCTTGCCACAGCCTGCAGGTTTCGGGAGCCTCTTAGGTAAAATTGTCATTACATAATTATGTTCTGTAGCCCTTAACTGCATCCAAATGAAGAATGGACTTGAAATAACTCCTACAAAGAAACTATAGAAACATCACCTCCTCCCCAAAATAAGCATACCCAAGAAAAAGGCAGCCCTGATGGGACTTTTATCAAAAACAATGAATGATCAATCAGACTGAGATGTGATTTTAAGTAACTCACATTTTAAGTTTCTTTTAAAACCTTGCTTTTTGAGATAATGTTTAACTGTGAATAAAATAAAGGAGAATGCGGTGTGTGTGTGTTGTGATAAGCCTATACACAACAGCTGCAAGAAAGGGTCGATTGGAAGAGAATACTCAAAATTAAAAATAGCTTTTAAATCAGAAAAACTTGTCCTTCCAAATTCCTACTGCCCTATTAAAACATTCCATAATGGGCTCTATGGCCTTTTTGAAAACACAGAGTCCACGTGAAAGCTTTGCAGCTGATGGGAATTATGGACCAGGCTGGAGTGCTGGTTCTGGCTTGCACAGAATAGATCCACATGGTGAGATGGACAAATGGTGCAGCCACCTGAGAGGTTCATACAGGAACCCTGCGTGGTGCCCACCCCAGGATTGGGCCACAGCCGGCTCTGCCCACCTGACCCTGCGTGGTGCCCACCCGGGACTGAGCCACAGCCAGCTCTGCTCACCTGACCCTGCATGACACCCGCCACACCAGGACTGGGCCACAGCCAGCTCTGCCCACCTGACACTGCGTGACACCCACCCACCCCAGGACTGGGCCACAGCCAGCTCTACTCACCTGACCCTGCGTGACACCCGCCACACCAGGACTGGGCCACAGCCAGCTCTGCCCACCTGACCCTGTGCGGCACCCACCCACCCCAGGACTGGGCCACAGCCAGCTCTACTCACCTGACCCTGCGTGACACCCGCCACACCAGGACTGGGCCACAGCCAGCTCTACTCACCTGACCCTGCGTGACACCCGCCACACCAGGACTGGGCTACAGCCAGCTCTGCCCACCTGACCCTGTGTGGCACCCACCCACCCCAGGACTGGGCCACAGCCAGCTCTACTCACCTGACCCTGCATGGTGCCCACCCTGGGACTGGGCCACAGCCGGCTCTGCCCACCTGACCCTGCATGACACCCGCCCACACCAGGACTGGGCCACAGCCAGTTCTGCCCACCTGACCCTGTGTGGCACCCGCCCACCCCAGGACTGGCTCTACTCACCTGCTCCTTGCTCATTTCCTCTGGGGGGAATCCATCGACAACTGAAGGGTCTTTGGCTTTGCCTTTCTTCCCTTTCTTTTTGGGCGCCTTTGGAGATAATTGGGTAAGAGAGACTCTAACAGCTTCCCCCTCTTGATTGGCTCTGATTTGCTCACAGGGGCATTTGGCAGAGAAAGTTCTGGAACCTCTCTCCCTCCTGCTCACCTGGAACACATCACTGCCCTGAGGGTTCCCAACCTTAACCACACACGTATCCTGTTGTTGCATTTGGAGAAGCACAAAGGAAAACCTTCCTCTCAAGAAGGAGAACATTCCTTCTAGAAAAGAGAGGGAATCCATCCTAAACGCACTAATTCCTTGGTGTGTGGTGGCCAGGCACAGTGGCTCACGTGCGTAATCCCAGCACTCTGGGAGGCCAAGGCAGGAGGATCACTTGCGTCTACAAGTCTAAGGCTACAGTGAGCTATGGCTGCATCACTGCACTTCAGCCTGGGCAGCGACCGAGACCCTGTCTCCAAAAACTACGACTGGGAACTCACTCCAAACCCACTCACCCCTTGGTAATAGTAAACACCTCTGCTGTGGATGCAAAATGTACTTGGGCTCCACAGGGAAGAACCCCAACACCACACTGCCAAATGCTACCATGCTGGCTGGGATGCTTAGAAACCACCACGGAAAGACGTGCAGGAACCATTCAGTAAGTACAGGGAGAAAGGCCTCCAGAGCCATAATCGGCCGTGACAACCAGAGATTTCCTTTCTTCCCAATTCCTTCAGAGAAGCCTGGTCAAGAGAGCTTGGGCAGACAGCACCCACCGTGAGTGCTCTGTAGATGGGTTGCCAGCCGGAACTGCGCATGGCGTCGTGCGAGGTTTTAGCAACGCTGACAAGGTTGGGAGACAGAACTTTCTTTTTTTTTTTTGAGACGGAGTTTCACTCTTGTTACCCAGGCTGGAGTGCAATGGCGCGATCTCGGCTCACCACAACCTCCGCCTCCTGGGTTCAGGCAATTCTCCTGCCTCAGCCTCCTGAGTAGCTGGGATTACAGGCACGCGCCACCGTGCCCAGCTAATTTTTGTATTTTTAGTAGAGACGGGGTTTCACCTTGTTGACCAGGATGGTCTCGATCTCTTGACCTCGTGATCCACCCGCCTCGGCCTCCCAAAGTGCTGGGATTACAGGCGTGAGCCACCGCGCCCGGCCCCTGGGAGAGAGAACTTTGTAACCCACCCCGGGGCCCCGCAGAAGAGCCCCGAGCTCTCGATTTCAGCATCCCCGCACCCCAGGCCTCCTCTTCGGGGGCCTCTGTGTACCCGGGCCTCCCTGCCCCGAGCGCTCCAGGCCCCTGGCGAGGACCGGAACCCGGCTCCCGCCCTTGCTCACCATGACGCCGGCGGACAAGCCCAGCCGCGACCCGGGTCCGAAGCGCCAGCCCCGCGGAAGCCGCGCCGTTTCCCGGCAACCGCTGGGCGATGCCGCGATAAGTCGCAAGATCTCGCGAGACTCCGCCGGCTGCAGCCAAAGGCGGGAGTGCGTCCCTAGAGACGGGCGGCGGGAGGCACCCGTCAGGGAGGACGTAGGGAAGACCCCGCGGGCAGCACGGAAGCCTTTCGCTGCAGGACGCGTGGTTTTTTTGCGGGAACCTAAGCTCCAAGATGGAGAACCGTTCACTTCTATCCCTCAGCGCCCAGTACAGCTCCCGGCAGGTGCTCAGTGAACATGTGCTCAGTGGCTGAATGAATGAATGAAGGACCTGCGAATGAATGATCCATCTGCCACGCAAAGCTCGGGGACGTCACCCACATGAGACTCTACCCCCGGGACTCACCGCCCCCCGCCCACTCTTGAGGGGCCCTCCCAGCCGCTGCGCTGGCGGGTTCACGCACTCTCAAAACACAGGAATAGGAAAGAAAAATCAGGAAGCATCCTCTTCACAAAAATAAACTGCTCCTCCCAAAGAGGCCTCCTCCCCAGTCCTCGGGGATGAAGAGAAACCAGAGGCTTCCAGACAGGCCCTGCAGAAAGCAGCTGCCACTTCCTTTTCTAACAAGTCTCTCGTTCTGAAAACTACTGGCCATTTTACAGTGTCTAAAGTGAATTTCCCGTCCCTGAAACCACCCTGTTGCCTGCACACAACCATCTATGTCACCCAGAAGGCTGTCATAAGCAGGAACTTCTTTTTCTTTTCTTTTTGGACAAGGAGTTTCGCTCTGTTGCCCAAGCTGGAGTGCAGTGGCGTGATCTCGGTTCACTGCAACCTCCACCTCCTGGGTTCAAGCAATTCTCCTGCCTCAGGCTCCCGAGTAGCTGGGACTACAGGTTCATGTCACCACTCCTGGCTAATTTTTGTATTTTTAGTAGAGATGGGATTTCACCATGTTGCCTAGGATGGTCTCGATCTCTTGACCTCATGATCCATGTGCTTGGCCTCCCAAAGTGCTGGGATTAGAGGTGAGCCAATTTTTTTTTTTTTTTTTTAGACAGGGTCTCCTTCTGTCTCCTAGGCTGTGATCACAACTCACTGCAGCCTCAACCTCCTGGGCACAAGCAATCCTCCCACTTCAGCCTCCTGAGAAGCTGGGACTACAAGTGTGAGACACCACACCCAGCTTTTTAAAAAGTTTTTTATAGAGACGGGGCCTTCCTTTGTTGCCCAGACTGGTCTCTAACTCCTGGCCTCAAGCAATCCTCCTGCCTCAGCCTCCGGAAGTGCTGGGAGCACGTGAGCCCCACACCTGGCCCTAAGCTCTCAACCTTAACATCTTCTTAAAAACTGGTCATCTTGGCCATCCCGGTGGCTCATGCCTGTAATCCCAGCACTTTGGGAGGCCCAGGCATGTGGATCACCTGAGGTCAGGAGTTCAAGACCAGCCTGGCCAACATGAAGAAACCCCGTCTCTACTAAAAATACAAAAATTAGCCCAGTGTGGTGGTGCACGTCTGTAATCCCAGCTACTTGGGAGGCTGAAGCAGGAGAATCCTTGAACCCAGGAGGCAGGGGTTGCCCTGAGCCAAGATTGCGACATTGCACTCCAGCCTAGGCAACAAGAGTGAAACTCCGTCTCAAAAAAAAAAAAAGTAGTCATCTACTTGGGAGGTTGAGGTGGGAGGATTGTTGGAGCCCTGGAGGTGGAGGTTGCAGTGAAATCACACCACTGCACTCCAGCCTAGTAACAGAGTGACACCCGAGACCTTGTCGCAAAAAAAAAAAAAACAAAAGGGTTCTTGCGGCAGCTCTCGTTCTCCTGTGTGGATGAAGATTCCAGAATCTATGCTCATAGAAAGTTGTGCTGGGGGCAAAGTGTGAGAAATGAAAGAAGGCTTGGTGGACTTAGGTCTTCCTGTCCAGCTCGGGGAGGAAGCTGCCACATGGGCTGGGCTTGCTCAGGTCTCAGGCACCCACACAGTGGTGGGAATCTGAGAATCACTGTGATGAGAGGCTTCCTGTTTGCCCACCCAAGAACGGATGGTTCTTGGAGAGGAGCAGCCAGTTGGAAGAACTGCACTGGCTCAGCCTGCACAAAGCTGTGATTTATTTATAGTAAGCAGCCCTGAGGCCTTTGTGAGGTCTGGCGGGTCACTGTGCCTGGGCAAGCAGGAGCCAGCATCACCGTGCCAGACTCCTTTGGCCTGAGAGACGACTCCTCCCACAGGCATAGGGTGGGAGGGGTCTCCCAGGGGAAGCTTGGCAGGTCAGACAGTGCTACTGGAGAGCACAGTGGAGTGATTATTATTATTTAACACTTACTTCACAAGCCCAATATGCTAGCTGCTTCATGCTGATTGGCTTTTTGCTTTAGAAATCTGGCTAAGAGTCCTGAATTAAATAGCTGTATTAACAATAATTCCTTTCAGCAAAAAGGGCAAGAATAGGAGGGTTAGCTCAGGATAGCCTAGACAGGGTATTCATTTGTCAGAAGCGAAGAGCACAGCTTGGTCTATCAGTGTGGATTGCAGAGATGAATCATTTAGGGAGCCCTGACTGCCGGCTCCTGGGTCTCCCAACAAGGCTCACTGCAACCTGTCCCCTTCATTCTGAATTTGAGTTCAGATGTTTGGAAAAGAGCCTTTTCTTCACATACATGGCTTAAGATACTTTCATTCAGCATCAAGCTGTGCAGCTCAGAAACCCAGATAAATGGCATCTGAGTTTCCTGCAAAATCCCAGAGCAAATATTAATACAAACAAACCAGCTGCCCTCTGATTTCTGATGCTTCCTGCCGCCACTACCCACCAGGTAAACCGCCTCCAGCCACTGCGTCAACTCAGCGAAAGCCTGGAGGTTAGGGTAACAGAGTGTTTATGAAGACTTGAGACATCCATCATAGTCACTGCAGCCTTGGACTCCTGGGCTCAAGCCATCCTCCCACCTCTGCCTCCAACCCACTCCACCTGGCTTCTATTCTTACTTTTATTTTTTGAAGAGATGGTGTCTTGCTTTGTTGCCCAGGCTGGTCTCAAGCTCCTGGGTTCAAGCTGTCCTCCCACCTCTGCCTCCCGAAGTGCTAGGATTACAGGCATGAGTCACTACAGCAGCAAATGGACTTTCTTTTAGAGATAAATATTGAAGTATTTACAAATGCAGTGATCTAATATGTATACAATTTGCTTCAAAATGACCTAGCAGTGGAGGGAAGTGAATGAGGACAGGCCATGAGTTGGTAGTTGTTGACTCAGGGTGATACGTACATGTGTGTGAGTTGTGACATTCTCTCTACTTTTGTGTTTGCTAATGTTATTAATAAAAACTTAGGCTGGGCGCAGTGGCTCAAGCCTGTAATCCCAGCACTTTGGGAGGCCGAGGCAGGTGGATCACGAGGTCAAGAGATCGAGACCATCCTGGTCAACATAGTGAAACCCTGTCTCTACTAAAAATACAAAAAATTAGCTGGGCATGGTGGCGTGTGCCTGTAATCCCAGCTACTCAGGAGGCTGAGGCAGGAGAATTGCCTGAACCCAGGAGGCGGAGGTTGCGGTGAGCCGAGATGGCGCCATTGCACTCCAGCCTGGGTAACAAGAGCGAAACTCCGTCTCAAAAAAAAAAAAATTTTAAGTTAAAGATCAACAGACACTGTCCTCTGGAGTCTGACCGCCTGTTGATTACCAGCAGGACAGTCTTTCACAAGACCCCCTCTGCATCATTTATTCATCTCTCAAATGGGAATCATTCATACACAGTAATTACTGTTACAGTTACCACAGCTGGGTAACAACCCTAAACACAGTAGCTTAAAACAACAACAGCATTTGTTTTGCTCATGAATCTGCAACTTGGCCATGACAAAGTAGGGATAGCTTGCCTCAGCCCCACTCATGGCCCCCTCCCCAGGAAAGCTCAAAGGCAGGGTCTGGAACCTCCTGAGGTTCCAGGCAGACTTACGTAGGCAGCTGAGGCCAGCTGTTGGCAGTAGGAACGCCAACAGCAACACACACAGGTGTCTCCCGTGTGGCCTGGGCTTCCTCACAACATCGAGGAAGTTCTAGTTCCAAGAGGGGCCTTTCCAGAGAGCAGGACGCTGCTCAACACGCAGCCTTGGGAGTCACATGACATCGCTACTGCCGCCCTCCATTGGCCAGGGCAGTCCCAAGACCCAACAATGGTTAGGGAGAAGCAGCACAGATAGGGGGTGTCTTCATGGGAACAGAAGGTTCTGCAAGACACATGGGATCGGAACTACTGCTGTGGCCATTTTGAGAAAACACAACCTGCCACTCGAAACAACTCTGGGTGGTCCACGCCCATCCACTGTCCCCAATTCCCAGGGCAGCCCACACACCCGCAGCTGCACTCCCTGAGAGGCCAGACTCTGCACCCTCAGGGTGGCGTGGAGGCCAGTGGGTCATGAAATCATTTCAGAGGCTTTTAAGCAGCAGTTATGGTTTTTGTCTTGTAAACTAAAGAAACATGGAAACTATGAGCCTGCCCTGCTGACTTCCAGGCTGGAAGGCACGCTCTACCCCACTAACTGGAGTTGGGCAGGGCAGCCAGGGCAAAGGGTCTGACTGTGGCTGGTGGAAGCGGAATGCACCACTGGCGTCTGAGCCTCAGCCCCTCCTACAGTCTAGGTTGCTCAAGTCCATCGGTCAAGTTCATCGCCTTTTCCACTCCCAAACTTCCTACCTGACACTTGGGTTTGGTTTGTTTTGATTAAAGTGCAGAGCACTTTACAGAGATACCCTCCCAGCGCCCGGCTGTGCGTCCTCGGGCAGGTTACTTACCGTCCCTGTGCTTAGCTCCTTCGCCTGAAGGAGACTTCCTTCTTAGGGTCACTGGGAGAAGCGATGGGACACCCACCGCACGACGACAAGGCGCAGAGTCTGGTGCTCGCCGGGTGTGCTCGGAGAGGCAGCCCCGCGCCTGCTGGGAGCTGGGTTTCACCGAAGCTGCCCCAGCACTCCCTGCAGCCCGGGCCCGCCCCCCCCGCAGGCCTACGAACCCCGCCATGCCCCCACCCCACCCGCCCCCTCCAGCCTCAGGAGCGCCTGCCTCGCCCCCACCCACCCCCGCGTGGATTCATTCACACCGTCCAGCGCGCTCTGTGATTCTGCCATTACCATGCCCGACTCAGGCCCTCCTGCGCCCCCGCCAGCACCGCCGGGTCCCCGCACGCACGGACCTGGAGGAGAACAGGAGCGCGCGAGCGGCGCGGCTGCCCAGTGAGTGCGCAGGAACCGCGGACGCCAAGCCAGGGTTGGGAGGCCGCAGCCGGGTCCGGTGTGGTCCGCGGCGGGGGGGGCGGCAGGCGAGGGAGGGAAGGGGTCGGCGGGGCGGGGGTTGGGGGGAGGGGTCGCCGGGGGAGGGGAGGGAGCAGCGGGGCGGGGGCGGCAGGACCGGGGGCCAGCAGGGGGCGCACGCGGGTCCGGGCGGGGCCGCACCTGTCCTGCGGCTGGGGGGGGGCGCCGGGAGGGGGCCGGGGCCCGGGAGCAGCTGCGCGCCCCGCCCCGCGGGCTCCTCCCCGCCGCCGCGGCCCCCAGGTTGCTGCCCCGATGCGCTGCGCCCGGAGCCGGGGCCGAGTCGCTGCCGCAGCTGTTGGGGCGCCTGGGCCAGGAGACACCGCCGTCGCCCGCGCCCCTCCCAGACCCCGCCGGCCGCATGGAGCCCCCGGAGAGCGCCGGCCCCGGAGGTGAGTTCAGCCCCGGCTCCCGGGACCCCCAAGCGGCGCCTCCCCGCAGCAAGCCGCAGCCCCTCCCGACAGGCCCCCCCCTTCCCGCTGCCGGAGCCGCCAAGAGCCCTTTGGCAGGTGGGGGGGCGGGGGGCCTGTCCGGCGGGCCAGGGACACCTTCCGGGAGCGGTCCCCGCGCGGGCTGGGGGCGCACAGGCCGGGTCTCCGCCCCCTTGTTCTCTGCGCTCGCCGCCCGGGCGCATTCAATGTTGGGTGGCCCGGAGTTTCGTCCCGAGCCCCCTCCCAGCCGAGCCAGCCGGGGCCCCGAGGAGTGGGGGAGGGGCGTTCCGGGGCTGGAGTTTGGGGTCCCTGTCGGCGGGGCGTGGGGGTGATACTGGCCGGTCGCTAGCTCGTCCGCTTTGTTCACCCAGAGGCGAGTCTCGGGGGCAAGGGCCGGAGACTGGGCAGGGACCCTGCCAGGGCGTGGGGCTGAGGTGGGTCTCGATGGGGGCGCGGGCATGCAGGGGAGCAGCCCGCCGGGGCTCCCGAGCTGCAGGAGTGGCTGCTCCGGGCGCGGCCCCGCGCACGCTCATCGGGGAGGGTCGGTGCGCCTGGACCGCTCGCTGCCCTGACGGTGGAGGCCTTAGTGCAGGACCTTGGAGTCGGTAACGGGAAGAAAGCGCTTACAACCCCCTTCCTAATCAGAGCCTTTTCCAGAAGGGCTTTCGGGGTTCCACTGGCCTAGGTCGCAACTTGGATGCAAACTGCAGACTCCTCACCTGCCTGGCAGGGCCCACCACCTCCTGATTTCCTAGAGGTCCCATTCCACGGAGCCAGCAGGTGCCTGGGGCACTGGCCAGCCAGCGCTCTGTAACTACAGGGGAACCTCAGTCCCCCAGCCCACAGAGTGGCCTCCTCTGGAGCCCGAAGGCCTGTCCCAGGGAGAAACAGGTCCACCCATCCAGTGTACCTGCAGTCCAAGGTCAAGGGATGATGTCCTGGACGTGCCCGAGGGATGGTGGGCTTGGGTTTTGTTTTGTCACTTGTGGGAGGGACCAGAGCTCCTTAATACTGTGGGCATGGGAAGCCTGGAGGTTGGGGCGTGAGAGCTTGGGGATCCCAGCTGTGAGCACCTGTGAACTGTGAGAATAGGTCTGGACGAAGCAGTTAGGCCCCTCTGAGCCTCAATTTCCAAGTCTGTCCGTGGAGACAGCTCTGCATCCCCTGAAGAACTGTGGAAGCCCAAGGCATTGGGAGAGGTGGTTAGTATTTTTTCTCTCTCCTTTGAGAAAAAGGAGGATTTCCTAGAAGCTTAAAGGCAGAGAAAGTGGGTTCCATTTCTGAGCCCATCACTCACTGGCTGGGGGCTTCAGATAACTAAAGTGCACAGGTATTTACTGACAAGGTGGCAGCTTTGTGCAGGGGACTTAGTGGGAGGACGGTGCCCTGTCATCTGAGAGCTCCCGCTCTTGACACCAGTGCCCACTTCCTTGACTGCAAAGGGGCCACTGATGCCTACTTTGTGGGGCCTCATGAGGTCACATGATGGTGACTGTAACTGTCATTATTTATCACTTACTTTTGAAAATCTTACAAAAGTAGCGAGAACAGCAGGACAAAGCCCCGTGTGCCACATCCCAGCCCCCAGGCCCACAGCCTACTCTCCAGAATACCACCAACCTCCCTTCATTGGTAATGTGAACCAAATCTAGACATATTATTTCATTGATAAATAATTCAGAAATATCTGTAAAATATTTCTATAAAGCATTACTAGAACACTGTTTTTGCACCTAGATGAATTAACGATTTCTTAATATCAAATGTACAGAACACAGAGGTGCAGGTGCAGGTGCAGGTTTGCACAGGTGTGTGACCTGTGCCATCCCTGAGGGCGCCACCTGGAAGCCAGAGCTGTAACCCACCCCAACTCAGTCAGCCCAAGCGTCCACAGGGAGAAAGAGAGGGACCCTCAGGAGACTGAGAGTCTAGACAGGGCCACCCTAGCATCCCTGAAATCGGGTCTAAGTCCAGGGACAAGGATGCTGGGGGATGGGGTGCAGGTGGCCCCTGCCTCCGCAAGCATCTCTCCTTCCCTGCAGCCAGTTTATGATATTCATTCATTCACTTCATTAGTTCACTCGTCCATGCAGTGGTGTGTGTCAAAGGCCTCCTCGATGCTCTGGGCACACAGCAAGGAACAGGATGTGGGCCAAGTTTTCCAGTTAAGAATGTACTGGAAAATAGGTCGGCAGCAGAGCACAGGGTATCAGCAGTCAGTCCTCAGGGAAGCCTGGGGGGCTGGGCTGAGGCACCCCAACGCCTGTCTCCCTCACTGGGGTGCTGCTTCAGTGCCCACTCAGCCCAGGCCCTGGCAGCCCTGTAGGGGGTTGGGTCCCCCTTGATAGGGGCTGTGCTGAGTGAGGACCAGAACACTGCTGTGACCCCACACCTTGGGGTCAGAAACAGCTGCTTGCCTCTGCCCTGGCCCTGGAAACCCTGGGGCTGCCAGCACCTGGCCCCCATGCCTTCCTGGCACTGAGCCTCTGGTCCCCACCCTGGGAAAAGCAGCAGGGTTCGCCCGTGAGGAATTTGTTTCTTCCTCCCACAAGAGCTTGTTGAGAGGGTGTCAGATGGGCCTTGGTAATTGCTACCACAGCTACTCACTAACCGTGGGCTCCCTGACTCACCCTCATCTATCTGTTGCACACCTACTGTGTGCTGGGTCCTGGGAATGCAGCCATCAACAAGCTGCTTCGGTCCCAGCCTGCTCTGGGGCTGAGCCAACTCACAGTGTACGTGTTTATCATTTCCTCCCAGCTCTGCCTGTCAGCTCCAGCCAAGATCAAGCTTTGTTTCCACTGAGGACTGTTTTTAAACTGAGATATTATTCACATATAAAGTTCATCCTTCTAAAGTGTACAACTCCCTGTTTTACTATATTCACACAATGGTGTGGCCACCACAATATCTTCATTACTCTCCAAGAAAACCCGTACCCATTCTCCCCTTCTCCACTGACCTGCCCCCCCAGCCTCTGACAATCACTGACCTGCCCCCCCAGCCTCTGACAATCACTGACCTGCCCCCCCAGCCTCTGACAATCACTGACCTGCCCCCCCAGCCTCTGACAATCACTGACCTGCCCCCCCAGCCTCTGACAATCACTGATCTGCCCCCCCCAGCCTCTGACAATCACTGACCTGCCCCCCCAGCCTCTGACAATCACTGATCTGCCCCCCCAGCCTCTGACAATCACTGACCTGCCCCCCCAGCCTCTGACAATCACTGACCTGCCCCCCCAGCCTCTGACAATCACTGACCTGCCCCCCAGCCTCTGACAATCACTGACCTGCCCCCCAGCCTCTGACAATCACTGATCTGCCCCCCCAGCCTCTGACAATCACTGACCTGCCCCCCCAGCCTCTGACAATCACTGATCTGCCCCCCCAGCCTCTGACAATCACTGATCTACCCCCCCAGCCTCTGACAATCATGACCTGCCCCCCCAGCCTCTGACAATCACTGACCTGCCCCCCCAGCCTCTGACAATCAATCACTGATCTGCCCCCCCAGCCTCTGACAATCACTGACCTGCCCCCCCAGCCTCTGACAATCAATCACTGACCTGCCCCCCCAGCCTCTGACAATCACTGATCTGCCCCCCCAGCCTCTGACAATCACTGATCTGCCCCCCCAGCCTCTGACAATCACTGATCTGCCCCCCCAGCCTCTGACAATCACTGACCTGCCCCCTCCAGCCTCTGACAATCACTCATCTAACTTCTGTGCATTGTCTATTCTGTACACTTCATAAGAATGGACTGATGCAGTATTTGTCCTTTTGCACCTGGAGTGAGGTGTTCACGCTCATCCACCTGTGTCCCGTGTCAGGGCTGCACTCCTTGGACTGAATCACACTCCTCAGTACACACAGACCACATTCCGTATATCCACTGATCCACTGAGGGACATTTGGATTGTTTCCACTTTCGGCTACTGTGAATCACGCTGCTGTGGATATGCATGAATGGGTTAGGGGGACCACCCTCCCTCAAAGTCAGAAATCCACATAGAACTTTAGACTCCCCAAAAGCTGAACTGCTAAGAACCTGTTACTGACCAGAGCTTTACTGACAGTCACGAACACATATTTGCTGATGTAATACACAGTAGGTTCAGTCCCTTGAGGAACCACTAAGTGCTTCGTAGCAGCCGCACACCTGTCAAGATCCATCCTGCCCCTCCTGGGGCTCAGGCCGTGTATGTTCCTGGCATCACATTCTTCCAGCCAAAAACTTAGCGTCCTGAGGGCAAAGGGTTGCATCTTCCACATTTCCCTTTCCAAAGCCTTGACACAGGCCCAGAGTTTACAGAATAAAGACGAGGCCACTGCCCAGGGGAGATGGAGAAGGGTCAGACTAGATACCAGGTGGCTTCAAAGGCTCACAGGACTGAACCCCATCAACACCAAGACACCGTCAGCTACAGGTGCGTTGCTGTCTCAGGAA